ATACACTACATACATGCACTATTCGTATATACACTATTCATACATATGTAGTGGGTTCACTGGAGACACACACTCGACTTTGGAGGCAACACGGGATAACGATATAGGTGGTAACTACCACGGTTAACTCCACCACAACGGGGTAACTACATAACTGGGTCAGGTCAGTAACACACTGCCTGACCCACGATGCCGAACGTGACGACCGAAGATCAACAAGATGTCGCACGGTGGGTTTCATTTCAGAAGACAGCCCCGATTGGCTCTCGGGACCTCGTGCCCCTGAGCGTGGCCTGGCTCCGCCCTCGGCAACGCCCCCTTCTGGATCATACGAGAAGGTTCTGGGCCATACACCGCTTGTCCCTCTCGCCCCCTCTTCACTCATTATCCCGTCCTGGTGACGTGCCCTCTGGGGTTCACCCAGACTCTCACGTCCTCAACTACCCTCTGTCACCAGAACCATGCCCCCTAGGGCCCCCTTCCATGCCATACCTACTCTGGTGTCAGAGAGAGGCTCTAACATGCACAGTTCCACTCTTCTGTCAGTAGCTGGCGCTAACGCCGTAGTGACCCAATATACGTCACTACACATACACAACATGCGTACACTATTCATGCCTATTCATGACAACAACCAGCGACCCCAAGACTGTGCCAGGCTAGGTAGGCGCACCATGAGGCCGTCACGTGAAGTGTCGAAAGCTCGCTGGTGACAGGTCACGGGGCAGACCCAGGTGCCATGGGTTGACCGACTGAGATGACTGGCAAATGTACCAGCTGTGCCCCCGACTGTGCCAACTCGCTGTGTATGGCTCCATATGTTATTGTGAGCGTCGCTCCTCTGCCCTCCGTTGTTTCTGGAGGGGCGACTGCCTCCAACTGCCCAGTAGCAGCGTCCTTCACGAGCCTCCTCCACAGAGGCCGATCTTGATGACACCGCTGGTAACGTTTATCGGAAAGTCCAATCATCTCCACGTTCTTCCGTGCCCGTCTAGCCCCCTCGATCCGGCCAAACAGAAGCTGCTTGGGCATGCCGTGGCCGGGCATGTGGGGCTACGTGACCCAGGCAACGCAGCCTCGCCTACCGAAAGAGCTCACTGATGGGACTGTGTCCAGATCTTTCAAGGATCAGTGAGCTCCTCACAGAATCCAGTCTGGTGAGACCCAGGATGGCGTGTGCTTTCGATTTACCAGTTACCGGTTATCAACGGTACTTTATACCCACACACTTCATAATATATACCCTCCATACAATTGTAGTGTGCTAATTCACAGACACTAGTAGTAGGTAGTCTCTTTTATTCCGGTCTTCACAGCCTTAGGGGATAACCACACACCGGGTCAGGACAGCCACCACGCTGCCAGACCCACAGCTTGAAGAGGGCGAAGATCACGATGATGACGGCATGACGAGTTTCACTGCAGATCGCAGCAGCCCCGACCGTGAGTGGGAGCTCGCCTTTTATCCTGCCCAGCGTGGCCAGGCTCCACCCTCGGCCACGCCCCCCTCTGGATCCCCCAGGTGGCTCCGTGCCTTGCCCACAGGTCAACTGGTAGAACGGGCATTAATTCTAGATTTGAAGCTTTCGTGACTGCAAGTATTCATATTCTTAGGTTTTTGTCGGTACAGTCACGTAGGTAAAAAAATAAAATTAAAATTATTAAAAGTAATAATAGAAATAAAATAATAATACATTTTATTTCTATTATTACTTTTATTTATTTTTTATTATTATTAATTTTAATTTTTTACCTACATTACTTTACCAAAAAAACCTAAGAATATGGTAGAACGGGCTGTTACCCCTCATTCTATTGTCTACCAATCTCCCAGCGGCACGTGCTCCAGTGACTCATTCAATGTCACTACACAACGACTATTCATGCAGCACACATTATGCATATGCGATTGTAATAAAACACCTACAGATACTGTTAACAGTGTACACAATACACAAACGCACTTTAAAATAGCATGCATCCACAGCAGCAGCCATTTGCCACTTAGTGGCGGTGACACTCGTTGTACCAGGCTAGGTGCATGTTGAAGTGTGGAAGGCTCGCTGCTGCTGGCAGGAGGCCACGGAGCACTGCGGGCCTGTGACATGATGTTATAGAGGCGCACTAAATAAAAAAAATATTAAAACACACAAATATTTAACTTGCATAGTAAAGTAATTGTATTTTTTTCATTTGCTACACAGCCAGATAATACGACAAATCGCTAACTTAAAACACCCAGCCGTTCATAAAAGTTGAAGGCGGTATAGTACTATAGCGATAGAGCAAGTGCAGAATCACTGAACCGGAATTTATAGCTTGAAAGCATTTAGCACGGGGCCCGTAGCATATGCTACTTGTGCTACTGGGATAATCCGGCACTGGACAGACCCAGGTGCTATGGGGTTGACTGAGATGACTGGCAGATGCCGAAAATAACACTGGTAGGAACCTCCTGGTTCCACCAGCCCACAGGGGATTATTGTGTCTGTCCGTCGTGCATCCAAAAATGGGAGGGGTGGGGCTAGGTGGAGAGGGGAGGGTGGGGAGGGGCTGGGTGGGGAGGGTGGGGCTGGGTGGGGAGGGGCTGGTCACCCCGTGGTGCCCTTATAAAACTCAACGTTTAACCTACTCACGCCGGCTTGTGCCCGCCCTCACAGTCGGCCAAATATACACCACGCCGCCGTTGACCCTGGCCATTGACCGAGCAACCCAACGTTCCTACCAGCTCCCTCCGCAGGAATGTGTTGCCAGCACCATGCCCGACCGCCTTTGTATCTCCAGTGTTTACATACCTCACCAGGAACTCGCTTAAGGCTAAGTCAACCTACGGGAGAACCAGCGCCGGCTCAGGTATTCGTCACCGATGTTGGCTGAGTGGGAATCAAACTCAGGTCACCGGGTTCGCAGCGCAGTGTGCTCGCCACCACACTTCCACTCCCCCGCCCAGTAAAACAACTCAGTGCACAGCACCATATACACAAATTGAGTAAAAATGATGCACTCATCTCAATGCTCACAAGGCTGATTGATGATGGTGATGGCACGCAACCAACACAGCTCTGTACGGCGCATGAGAAATGCAAACCGGAAAGATTTCATTAGAGAACAGCGCCCTCTAGCGATTTTTTTTGTTAAAATAAAACACTTCGTATTCATAACTAGTTGAAAAAGCCTGTCTTCGCCAGGCACACGTTTTCAATGTATAATAATTAACCTGATTGTTTTTTACAATTTGTATCTACGATCAGACACTAACTACTACTAACAATTGTCTTTTTTTATAATAAAAAAATTACTCAAAATTATTAACTTAATACTCTAGGCGGAGAAGCTCCTATCTTGTACGCTTTGCAAATTATTCAGATTTGATCATAAAATGCGTATTTTTTCGTTCAAACCCGCTTGAATCCGAAAAATGTAAAAAAAAATAAAAACGATAGAACAATGGTTTTCGCTTTAATTGTATTTGCTCTTTAACACTCTATCAAACGAAAAACCCGCAATCTTATATTTTGAACGGTTTCTGACGCACAAACATGTTGATGGGGCACTTAAATCGAGATTTTGGGGCCTTAAAATGAAAAATCTCGGATTTTCAAATAGTTCCTGTTGTCTGTGTCCCAAAAGCTATCTTGTCGGGGAAGTACCCTAGAGGTTATTGAGACTAACAGATTAAAGTCTTCATTTATACAGATAAATTACGCACATTTCCATCCGTATATTAAAGTTGGGGGTCCGTCTTATAATCCTTCAGCGGTTTGTCCACGCTTGTGTATGCGAGCGTGTCCGTGTGTGTGCGAGTGTGTCTACTGCTGCAGCAGCAGCGTATCCAAGCAGCTTGTTTAGCCGGATAGAGGGAAGAGGCTAAACGGGCACAACACGGGCAGAAGAGATGGAGCTGATGCGGTATGGGAGGATGTGGAGCCAAGTGGACTTGCCAGAGACTGCTACCAGCGGTGTCAAGATCGGCCTCTGTGGAGGAGGCTCGTGAAGGACGCCGCTGGGCAGTTGGAGGCAGTCGCCCACCAGCAACAACAGAGGGCGGAGGAGCGACGCTCACAACAACGTGTGGCGCGCCGTGCGGATAAAATACAGCAATTTTTTGTGGTTTCACGCTTCAACACACCGGTGGGCTTAAGCAGTGAACTATTTGTCTTTTATCAACGTGACACTTGTTTGCCGATTGGCCGTGTCGGGTGGTGGAGGGTTACGACACATTTATAAATAACGCGATCTAACCCAAAAACGTTGATTTATGAATATTGGTCGCGAAAGCCTACGTGTCAAACAATACAGCAAGTTGGCACGGTAGGGGGCAGCACAGCTGGTGCATCTGCCAGTAATCTCAAGTCATGCCACGATTCCCTGGATCAACCCGGGGACCTCCTGTCAGCGAACCTTTGAAACTTCACGTGGTCTCAGAGTGCACTTGGCCTGGCACAGGCACCGTGAACAGAGGCGGCTGTTGTCGTGCGCAGGTCTGTGTAACGTTGACACCGGGAAACAGTTTACGGTACATCTTTCTTTTCGAAGGGCTTTAAAATCCAAGAGACGGTGTCCGATTTTAGCATTAAAACAAGTTGTGCGCCCATCGGAGTTTCCGGGCAAGCCAGAGGCTTGGCATTGCCACAACCCTGGGTTCAATCAGATGATTCTCAGTCGCACAACCCGTGACTGGAATGGGTCTCTCAAGTGCAGCGAGTGGATGGACTTCAGCGTGGTCACGATCGATTTGCAGACTTGCACAGGGGGAACAACTTCACGTAGAAAACCAGACTCGTGTAAAGTGCCATCAAGATTTGAAGCTTTCGTGACTGCAAGGATTCATACTCTTAGGTTTTTTCGGTAAAGTCACGTAGGTAAGTGCTGATAGTAGCAGCACCGATTATGGCTGGCACGGCACACAGAGTGGTATTAAGCTTTGGGGGAAAAGTAAAAACGCATAAGTGTGTGTGAACACAACATAATTGTATTAAAGCCATACCATCCAAAAGGTGAACATTTCATGAGGGCAATAGTTTTTTATTTGTTGCAGTACAGAACCACACGTTTGACCCAACGACACGCTCTAGTGCTGCCAATGTGTTTATTATCAGGACACACACCGCTATTGCATGGGTGTTGGCCACGTAAGTCAACAATCAATACGGTGGTGGTTGTTGTTGTGGGTGTGTGCAAAATTAAGTCAACAACAACAACAACACGATGGTTCCTCCGCAGGCTCTGCACGACACCCAGGATGCAGCGATTCCAACTTCTCCAGGCGCCATCCGGCGGGGGGAGAAGTGTTATCTGCAAGCACACGCACGGAACAGAGCCGTATCAAGGCACCAACCCCACAGCTGGGACCAGGGTTGCGATTTCCGCATGGAAAATGCGGAAGGAGGGTTCAAATTTTCCCGCATTTTTGCTAAAGTCAACCGCAAACGGTGGAAAGACTACTCCTATGACCGCGCGCTTTTAACAACACGTTAATGCGTTCTATTGAAAAGGATACATACAAGGCCCAGCATCACGTAGGGCTTTGAGTTACTGATTGGAATGAATATATGATTTCCGCATTTCCGCACAAGAACCACATACTTTATTCAAATGCGGAGCCGTGATTACGAGCACATGTACATGATGTATCCTTTCCAATAGAACGCATTAACGTGTTGTTAAAAGCGCGCGGTCATAGGAGTAGTCTTTCCACCGTTTGCGGTTGACTTTAGCAAAAATGCGGGAAAACTTGAACCCTCCTTCCGCATTTTCCATGCGGAAATCGCAACCCTGGCTGGGACGATCACTCAATTACGATAAACTTAACTTTTAACCGACTTTTTTTCTCGTCATTGAGATTGACTATTTGTGCCATTGTTTGACCATACTTCACCGGTGCGGATCGGTGCATGTTAACGAGGGCAGGAAACGAAGACGCGGGAACAGAGGTACGGTGCAACGGATTTTGCTACACTGCCCCAATCTGGGCCACAAGTTCCACGAGCTGACGATGTGCACGTTTAAAGTTTATTTACATTTATATTTATGGATGGACTTCCTTAGCTTTCCTATACTGTGTACTCCTCTTGTTCTTCGTATTGTTTGCTGTTGTTGTAATTGTCCAACGCGCCCCCCACTGGACAATTGTAGAGAAACAATAACTTCACAGCCGATTAGATTCTTCCAGTCCAAATCAAGATTCGGGTTCTGACCCCACCCCACGTGGGCCCAGGCTAATGCCTGGTGGTAGCCCACGCACGGCGTTATACAGGCCAAGAACCCTGCTTAGCTTCTGGGATCTGATGCAACTGGGGGGGGGGGGTGATTTTAGCCATAAAGGATATCCAATTATTCTGATGATAAATGAGTCTACGATTCATCAAAGACAGTCTCACGATAGGGCTGGTCAGTTGGGATGTTGGCGATTGTGTACGTGTGTACAGTGGTAAAGTCACGTATAAAGATAAAATAATAAATTAAATACTAGCATACGACGTTTCGATTGCAACACAAGCAATCATCATCAGGTATAAATGAAATAGAAACACAAATATAGTATACTCAGAAATGGAATGCAATACAACAAAGAGTCGGATAATAGATTTGTGTTTCTATTTCATTTATACCCGATGATGATTGCTTGTGTTGCAATCGAAACGTCGTATGCTAGTATTTAATTTATTATTTTATCTTTATACGTGACTTTACCGAAAGAACCAAAGAGTAATTCCTGCAGTCACGAAAGCTCCAAATTAAGATTGTACAGTGGTACCTCGGTATACGTCGTTAATTCGTTCCAGAAGGTAGGACTTGTACCGAACATGACGTAGACCAAACGAATTTTTAAATCCTTTATATTAAGTTCACTTGCTTGCTTGCGCGCTTACTACTTATTACAAAAATGGATAAATAAATTAAAATAAATGCATAAATAAATTAAAATAAATTGAAATAAAAATAAAATTAAACATCACTTGACCCTCATGGTCTTATAGGAAACTTCCTGCCAGGCTTTGTGTATCAGAGTTACCCAGTGCACAATATTAAAATGCTCTTTCCAGAACTCTCTGAAAATTCACAGAGTTCTAGCAAGAGTTGTGCACTGAACAAGATCTACCGTACAGGCAGACTGAGGAGCGGCGCTTTGTCTCAGTCGTGAGCGGGGTCTACGCGGGTACGCGGTGACTCATCCCGACCCATACAAGTTCTAGCAAGCGCGTCGTATCCCAAGCAAGACGTCGCATCCCAAGCAAGACGTCGTATCCCAAGCAAGACGTCGTATCCCAAGCAAGACGTCGTATCCCAAGACATCGTATCCCAAGCAAGACGTCGTATCCCAAGCAAGACGTCGTATCCCAAGCAAGACGTCGTATCCCAAGCAAGACGTCGTATCCCAAGCAAGACGTCGCATCCCAAGCAAGATGTCGCATCCCAAGCAAGATGTCGCATCCCAAGCAAGACGTCGTATCCCAAGCAAGACGTCGTATCCCAAGACATCGTATCCCAAGCAAGACGTCGTATCCCAAGCAAGACGTCGTATCCCAAGCAAGACGTCGTATCCCAAGCAAGACGTCGCATCCCAAGACATCGTATCCCAAGCAAGACGTCGTATCCCAAGCAAGACGTCGTATCCCAAGACATCGTATCCCAAGCAAGACGTCGTATCCCAAGCAAGACATCGCATCCCAAGCAAGACGTCGTATCCCAAGACACTTTTTCTCTCGTCAAAACACGACGTATACCAAATTCGACGTACTCCAAAACGGTCGTATACCGAGGTACGACTGCATGTTGAACTTCTTTCGCACCGTACGTGAACAAGCGTGCTAATCGGAGGTGCAGAAGGAAGGACAACAAACTAGAGACAAAAAGCAGTGATTGTGAAATGTCTGCGATTGTTTGGGTGCAGGAATACATTATTAAAATAACAAACTAAATAACTACAAACAAGGCAACTTCATTCCAAACTACATAACTGCGCATATATATCCAAAGCATGCAGTTAATTACTTAAAATGTTTGAACTCACTATGAGACAGACTGCCAAGAAATGTACTATTACAATATTTTTATTTACAGTAAAACCTTGGATTGCGAGTAACTTGGTCTGCGAGTGTTTTGCAAGACGAGCAATTTTTTAAATAAATATTAATTTGAATTCTTAGGTTTTTTCGGTAAAGTCATGTAGGTAAAACATCAAAATTAATAAAAATAAAATAAAATAAAGATCACGACGTTTCGGAGGCAACACAAGTCTCCGTCATCAGGTGGGACCGTCACAGCCAGATTAGCTGCATCAAGTGAGGCAAGGATTCAAGATGTAATCCCTTAAAAGCGAGTTGAGGGGGGAGGAGGGGGGGGGGGAGCTCATCAGAATGTGGTAGCCAATGAATGGAACGTATCGGGAGGGAGGGGGGGGGGGCTGGGCCAAAAGGGTGGGCCAAATATTAATTTGATAAACGAGCGAGGTCTTGCAATACGAGCAGTACGTGTATACGCTTTGTCTGCCGAGCATCACGTGATCACAACTGATATACGAGTCCTTTGATATACGAGTGCTTTGGATTACAAACACGTTCCCCGAACGAATTATGCTCGCAATCCAAGGTTTTACTGTATTTGTAATTATGAAAAAAAAAGAACAGGGTTTGCCATTTCTGGCAAACTATACCAGTGTTAAGATTTTTAAACACCAAATCGACACCAATTACAAGTTATCAAGCCTGCATTGACCACACACGCTTGTGGTAATGCATGCAAAGAAATGTTTTGACTATTACAATGTTAACACCTGTATTATAACCTATTCTTTTTTTTCATCATTTTGAAACCGGCAAAAAAAAGTCCCTTAAAAATATTGCAAATTTCGTCCAAAACAAAAACAAAGATCCCCCGTATAGCCTGAACAGACTAGTGGGCGTGTGCTGTTAGCGAGCTCATATGAAGGCCGGCACGGCACACGAGGAGGTGGGGGGTGGCCACCACCACCACCACGCCAGGCCGCCTTTCTCCCCGAGTACCGATTGTTTATACACTGCCCCAGGTACTCATTTCAGGCAGAGTCGGCCTAGGGGAGGCCCATGACCGATTGAGATAATCGTCACTGGTGTTGGCCGTGAGCGGGAATCGAACTCGCAGCGACGGGTTCGGAGCCCAGCGCACTAACCACTGCGCCACCCCAAAAAGACAAAGATCCCCCGTATAGCCTTAACAGACTGTAGGGGCAAGTGCTGTTAGCGAGCACCTATGAAGGCCGGAACGGTACACGAGGGGGTGGGTGGCCAGCACTACGCCCGACCGCCTTTGTCTCCCTAGCGGCGATGTTTACATACCGCACCAGGTACTCATTTGAGGCCGAGTCGACCTAGGGGAGGCCCAGGACCGGTTCAAATAAGCGTCACTGGTGTTTGCCGTGAGCGGGAATCGAACCCAGGTCGCCAGGTTCGTAGTGCAGCGCGCTAACCGCTACACTGCCCCTCCCCATGCGCCACCCCAAACAGACACACAAGCGTGCGCGTACACCGGCAGTGTGAATGGTTAACCTTGAAATTAAATTCTCTTTTAAACTTGTAGTTTGGGGGGGGGGGCGGGGAGGGTGAAGACCTAGACCTCGGTCGTCTGTTTTTAATTGTTGCTCATTAAAGTAACCGGGGAGTCCTTGCCGACACGTTTGCGACCACGCGGGCAAACGGAGTCCCTGACGCTCGGACGAGTGAACAGCAGCCAATGAACGAGCAGGAAATTAGAATTAAAAACCAGCGCGCTTAAATCTAGATTTGAAGCTTTCGTGACTGCAGGAATCCATACTCTTTGGTTCTTTCGGTAAAGTCACGGAGGTAGAAAATACAATTGATCACGACGTTTCGATCACAACACAAGTGGAACTGCTGGATTATATTTTTTTATCCACCTGAGGATGACCGCTTGTGTTGCGATCGAAACGTCGTGATTTATTTAATTTTCTACCTACGTGACTTTACCGAAAGAACCAAAGAGTATAAGCGCAGTTGAGTTAATACGCAAATCCGTACGAATCCGCTCACGTACATATTGAGATGTGTTGGCCGACATACATTTTATCAGAAGTTTTGGGTTAGATCGCGTGCGTATAAATGTGTCGTAACCCTCCACTATGCAACACAGCCAGTAAGGTTGTCACGTAAACAAAACCCGCCAGTTATTTACTACTTCAGCCCACCGGTGTGTTGGAGAGTAAATCCACAACGTTACAATTTGAGTAGTACGACATTTCGCTGGTAATTACATCCAGCATCATCGGGCGATTTGCCAGAATACGACACATTTATACTTACGCGATCTAACCCAATTTTCCACACCGTCTTAACCCTTTCCCATTCAGATGACGTGTGGCGTGATATAAGTTGTTTTTCTTCGGGTTCCGTTTCGATAGAAAATCAAAAGTAACTTTATCGGTGCCGAGGCTCCCACTAGACCAGGGGTCGGCAACCAAAACAACAAGAAGAGCCATTTCTTTCCAATTCGGTACAAAATTCAGTATTTCAAGAGCCGCAATGCATCTGAGTACATACTGTACATACGTACATATCGTCAAGAAGCAGCCCGTAAAGAGCCGCATGCGGCTCCGGAGCCGTAAGTTGCCGACCCCTGGACTAGACCATGCGAGAGGGCGTGTGGCACAGTTTTGGCGCCAGCCATCGTAGAGAGTGCTGCGTTCGCGTCGCTACGGTTCTGTGGTGAGCACAATGCCTTTGAAAACCACGGCGCTACTACGCCTAAGTAACATTAACCCAGAGCCGCTTGCACGTTTCCGAGATTCAGTGGTGGACGTGACACCCACCCCCCCCCCGCAACTTGCAGACATCATCCGAACGGTAAAGGGTTAAATGACCGTATCTCTAGAGCGGCGTTTCACGCGACGCTTTTCTGCAGCGCGCCGCCTATCGCTCCGAGGGTTTGGTGAAAACTGACAGTGCGACATCAAACGTAAAAGGCCCCTTTATCGATGGCCTCTCAACTTCTATGTGCTGATTAGATTGGAAGAAAAAAGCCACGTGTTACGCATGCAAGAGGCGACAATAAGAGACATGCATTGATTCGGATATGAGAAAACACGAGATATGCAACGTAATGTAACAGTACTTGAGTTTTGTGTGCAGCGTCGCCGTTCATTCAAATTCCGTTTCTCGCAATCGCCGAGGAATGCGGCGGCGGCGGCAGCAGCCAGGTGGTGAGTCGGCGCTACCGACAATTGGCCAAGATCTGTTGCCCTCTATGTCAACATGTTTTCAGCCAATTACCAAGTGTTTATATGTGTGGGAGAAAACACGGAGCACTCGGAGGGGGCAAAACCCATGCCATGCTGTCAAAAGCGTGTTAAATGAAGTTAACAAACAAGAATTGGAGACGCGTGCGTAGACGTGTTTGGATATTCACGAGGATTCCGATTAAAAATTATTGTCCAAGAGATGGGCCAATACAAACGAGGCATTACAAATGAGAGAGTACAAACGAGACGGATCGTACTGATAACTCGACACTCACGGGGGCACACGAAGGACGGGCGGTACAATTGGAAACAGAATTCACGGGACACGCAAACACACAAACAAGGCAGGCAGAACACACAAGACATTGCAAGCGAGACAGATAATTACACGAGTCGGTACACAAACTGGTCGACATGACAGGGGTTTGGAAAGTACGAATGAGAAACGCACATTGCAGAGCACACAGGGAAGACAGTACAAAGGAAACTAATTATGTAAATGATACGTAAGAAACACAAAAGAACAGGTGAGAAACACAACGTGAAATGGGACCCATTACAAATGAGTAAACTTAAAAGAGACGGACAAATATAAGTGACAATTATCACTGAGAAAAGTCCAACAATAAGAGGTACAATGCCCAATGCGCACAGCGTATATGGGCCGGGCAGTACTAACCATACAAAGACAAAGATCTCCCGTATAGCCTTAATAGACTGGTGGGGCAAGTGCTGTTGGCGAGCACCTATGAAGGCCACTACAGCCCGGCCACCTTTGTCTCCCCAGTGGCGATGTTTATACACCGCACCAGGTACTCATTTGAAGCCAAATAAACCTAGGGGAGGCCCAGGACCAGTTCAGATATTCGTCACTGGTGTCAACCGTGAGCGGGAATCAAACCAGGGTCGCCGGGTTCGTAGTGCAGTGCGCTATCCGCTACGCTGCTACTCCCCACGCAAACAAAGAAGACAGAGAGCTGCAAGACAAGCCAATGCCGCTGGGTGTGGCTTACAGGGCGGCAGCGCCAGAGATGATCTCGATGAGCTCCTTGGTGATGACAGCCTGGCGCGTGCGGTTGAACGTCAGAGTCAGCTTGTCGATCATCTCCGCTGTGGACGGGCGACAGGAAACAACCGCGACCGCGGTTAACTCACAGACACGGTTGCACCACAACTGCCGGTTATATCACAACCACGGTTAAAGAGCCACGGTGAAATCACAACCGCCGGTTACTCTACAACTGCGCTTAATCCACAACCGTGGTTATACCACAATCGCAGTTAAACCACAACAGCCGGTTATACCACAACCGCTGTTATACCACAACCGCTATTATACCACAACCGCTGTTAGACCACGACCGCTGTTAGACCACAACCGCTGTTATACCATAACCGCTTTTATACCACAACCGATGTTATACCACAACTGCAGTTACACTAAAACCACGATTAACCCACCACAACGCCGGGGGGGACATACAGAGACATGTGGTTGGAACACGAAGACGTGGGGGGGGGGGTTCAAGGAGACACAGGAGGAGGACACGGAAACGCGAAGGGGACACTACTCACAGGCGTTGTTGCTGGCGCTGTCCATGGCGGACATGCGGGAGCTCTGCTCGCTGCAGGCCGACTCCTTCATGGTGTAGTAGACGAGGTTTACGAGCGCAAACTCCTGGTAGTTGCGCAACACGTCCGCGTCGATGTCATCGTAGATGGTCATGCTCTCTGCGGTGCGACAGCGTCGTTTTGGCGGTCGGCGGGTGAAGGAACTGGCGGAGAAACGATTTAAAACGGGGACGATAAACGCAAACGCATGGATCACGGAAGGCCTTTTCAACGCGCACTTGACCTCGGCAGTGTTTAACATATAATGTCACGATGCCCGATCCACAAATACGAAGGAGACATCACGGTGATGATACACTCCACGACTCCTGACGCGGTTATTTGTGCTCGACCACCCGAATGTGAAATTGTAGTTGTTGCTCTGTATCTACATCAGCATTCATATGAAATCACAGAATTAGCGATAACGATGTTATGTTTCAAGCTGCGCAAGGCGGTGGCATCACGTGACGCTTCACGTGTGGCATCGGGAAGTGTGATAATGGCATCAAGGAGAAATCTTTTTCGGGTTGTTTTTTTGCGACAAGTTTTGGACACTAACCCCTTTAAATCGATTTCAGAGGTTTTTTTTCCTAGGGGCGAGTCCCCAATAGCTACACAAACTTTACCTAAAGTTTTGTTCAAATTGCATCATCTTTACCAGAGTCTTGCTGGACAAACGTATAAATATAAATACAGATGTGCCAGCCGCTTAGTGCACGGCTGATAATTCACTATGTAACAGGATTGTTGTTCCTGGGTAGTAAGTGTTATTTTCTAATTGCTTATGCCTCAAAAATATAAAAAATGGCTATTATTCCCCACAAACTTTGCTTTTGTGATCAGGACTTTACGTGACACAAATACACACCACGTTTTCTCATTGAAAATAGGTAAATTTCAAAATATCACTGTCCTGGTCACAAAAGCAAAATTCATTTCCTGTACTTTTGAGGCATAAGCAATTAGGAAATAACACTTACTACCCAGGAGCAAAAAATATATATTTTTATATATTTGTATATATTTTTATATTTTGTTTTGTTACACTGTGTATAATGATACCCTGTATTTAGCCAGCAAAGTCACACCAAGACTACCGCGCTGGCATGCATCCCAATTAGAGGTCGTGCGATGAGTTGATCAAGTCGATTAATAAACGAAAAATTGATATCCTAACATCTTTGTCTTCAATCACCAGGCCACCTTGGAAGACGGTGGCCCGCACCCACAACTTGCCTCTCGAAGGCGGGAAACCACCCGACAAGCCATGGCCAGCGTGACGCGACCAACTATGCCGATGGCTGTCAATGAAGCCCGGCCCATCACCTCCCGTCCAGCGGCACACAGGTTGAGGAAAGGTGAGAATTTCGTTTCTGCGACTCTTTTCATGCAGATCGGTCGAGTAATTGAACCGATCATCGGTAGAGGAATCGACTCCTCTAATCGTTGGGAGAACCCGGCTGTCACAAATGCGCACCAATTCCACCACCACCAGCATCGAGCTCCTATGAACCTCCTGACCTCTTACCAGAGTTGGAAATGGTCTCCAGAGAATAGATGGGCTTATTCTCGGTCTTGTACGACACCACTGACCTAAAAAGAAGTAAACAAACACAGCGCCACATTACGCACAGCGTACACGCGGACGCCAGCGTTAGAGCTGCCACACGGCAGAAAGACCCCAGTGTTACCCCCGAAGCAAAGAAGTTTCACACTCGGGGGAGGGGGGGGGATGTTGAGAAGAATGAAATTCGTGCAACGCAGATTGCGGTGTGTCTACGCTCGATGTTATCTCCCCTTCCGGCGCTCACCGGAAGCGGTTGAAGAACAGGGTCCCCTGGTCGAACTCGAAGCCGCAGTCGAGCAGCTCCTTGGCGATGAAGCTGGCGTCGGCGAAAGAGGGCGGCTTCTTTCCCACCTCGCGGAAAGTCATGTACAGGTGCTTGCCGTGGGTCCTGCACGGACAATGGGCACGTACACGCGGGCGTACAGGTGTTGATACTCGTCCAAAGAAATACCGAGGATGTTTATACACACGCGCATACTAGATGTGTGTTCATGAGCATCGGCTCATCAATCGGAATATAATAGAAAATTAGCCCTGGACAAAAGTTTATCTGAACGGATTTTTTTCTGTTATACGAAGGACACGGAAAGTATGACGTCAAGGGACACGTCACTCTTATTACATCGCTTCCGCCAAACGTGACTGTCACTTGGCATTTGGGCGATGCTAGTGGTGTGTTTGCGCTTCCAATTACTACATCATGCTCATGACCCAAAAAATCCCCCAAAAATATGCAAGTCCTAAAAAAAATCCCAAGATTTTCAATCGTAACATCATCACTAACACATACACACGTACAGATGTTGATATACTACACATCTGCAGAGTTGTTGTGACACACTTAAATATAAATGTCTTTGTCTGATGACATGACACCGGTAGCATAACTAGAATATAACCGAGCAAATATTATGAAAATGCCAAGAAAACCAAAAGCATCTTAATTGACCCGTGGAAATTTTTTTACGCATATTTGTAAACCATGCTGCTACTCTCGTTCACAAAATGCGTCGGTGAGAGAGAAATAGACTGAGATCCGGCAACCCCCGTGATACGCGTGAAATAGCGGATCCACCCGTTCATCAACTTTGCAGAAAAACGATGACAAACGCCGCATTCACCACAAAAATAAGCCAAATAAAACACCTCTGCAGGATGCCGCGCACTTTGTCGCCAATCGACACCACCATGACGTCTTTGCCCTTGGAGGTGAGGTCACCGATCTGGAGCTTGATGGCCTTGGAGATGTTGGAGTGGATGGCCCCACAGAGGCCACGGTCCGACGACATGGCCACGATCACGTGTTTGGGTTTCTCCTCCGGCGCTTTGATATCCGCCTTCTCGTACAGGGCTGTGCAAGTCGCGCAACGGCGTCAAACAAATTCAGCCGGTGCAGAAACGCGCGGAAGCCAGTCTCTTCCATCACCCGGTACGCATGAACGTAACCACTTCGCGTCCTGCGTTGACGTCCTTTATGATGGGTGCCCCAAACAACGAACTAAGTCCGGTAATGGGGTAATCAGTCCGGTCAATATTCGCTTTTTCCCCTTAACGGGTACAGTTATTACACTACACGTGTTTTTTTTATAGGTCAAAATAGGACGAATAAAAGTTGGAAAATTAGTTGTACAATACATTTACAGTACTTTGGTCTTTAAAAATATTTTACAGTACAGTATCGTAGACGTAACAACACGACAAGGGTGAACAGTTATTGCTTGACGCATGGAGAGTTTCAACAGAACGGGGTTGCTATGGTGTTACAATACTGTACTGTATTATTAATGTAGAGGTATTATTACGGTTTGATTATTTTACTATGAAAAGCATTACAATATTTTATAATTATCATTACTAAATTATCTATAGTTTGGGTGCTGTAGGGTGTGGATTTAGTGCTCAAAGTACATCATTTATCCATTAACGGAGGATTCACTGTACATACGTACGTGTTTGTGTGTGGGTGTGTGGGTGTGTGGGTGTGTGATTCTGCTACTCACTCACCAAGTGCACCCTGGCCGTACGCACGTGCCGGCTTAAGTTCCCGCTCTGCACGAGCATACTTTGCGGCAGACACCATCTTCATGGACTTGGTGATCTTCTGTATGTTCTTGATGGACTTCAGGCGAAGGGAGACTGGGTAACAAGCGGGGGGGGGGGGGGGTGCATGAGTAACAACGCACATGCAATCAGTCATCTCCTTATCCATCTTCTTTCACTACTAGCATGGCAACTGTTCATGAGCTTCATACATTTTTTTTACAAAAGCGCAACCCACGTGTGGAACAATATAATTGAAATTGCCTGATGTTCATCTCGATATTGACTCCATCTTAATGTGCCACTTGGTTTCAAAGCCATTTATTTTCTTAAAGTATATTTTACATGTATGCAAAATGTTTTAACTATAAATGGCCACAAATGCAGAAATAATTTACGTTCGGTTAACTTCAGTTTATTTTGCTTAACCACGTGTGACCAAGGGACCAGAATTTAACGCGTGGGCTTTCACGAACATTATTATTATTATTTTTGGTCAGATCGCATGAATGCAATCGTGTCAAAAAACCAACACAGCCAATTATAGTAAAGGCTGCCACGTGAACAAAACGTGTCAATGAGTAACCACTTCGGCACACCGGTGTGTGTGGCTTTTCTCTCTGCCACACCGTCGTGCGGTGACATTCATCCAACAGCGGCTAGAGCATGACCGATGATAATAACATAGCGTGGGAAGACCTTCATCCAGCAGTGGCCAAACCATGGCCGATGGTAACAGTAACAAATGGCATGGGGAATTCCTCAGTGGCTGGAGCAGGACTGCTGCCGAGGCCAATGACGACGACAAAGTCAATGTATGACGTGCAAAGCTGTACTTACTGTCCTTCAGGGTAGCCATGCTCCTGACTTGGCCACTGCAACGAGCGCACACAAACACGCATCTTTACTCGCACGGCTTTATGCAGACACCGCACGTAATTTGCAATCGTATTGCACTGCATTGGACAATGCAATTACTGGAAAGTGTCTACATGCGACCACGTAACAAGACGCTGGACAGAACCGGCGGGCATTTGTTTTTTATTTCGGAGTGGGAAATATTGACGTCTTCAGCTTGGATTTGAATCGAGCAAAATTCCTGATCAAAGTAACTATGAACACCCCAACCCCAGATTGCATTACCAATAACCCCCTGAAGGACACAAATATCCCCCATGTAGCATTAACAGACTGTAGGGGCAAGTGCTGTTAGCGCGCACCTATGAAGGCCGGAACGACACACGAGGGGGCGGGTGGCCAGCACCACACCCGACCGCCTTTGTCTCCCCAGTGGCGATGTTTACACACCGCACCGGGTACTCACTTGAGGCCGAGTCGACCTAGGGGAGGCCCAGTACCGCTTCAGATAATGAATCGTCACCGGTGTTGGCCGTGAGCGGGTATCGAAACCCGGGTGGCCGGGTTCTTAGCGCAGCTCAGCGCTAAGCGCTACACTACCGCTCCCCACCACTGAAGGACACACGAACAGACCCCTGACATTGCTCAATAAATCCGACAGCCTGCAGGGGTCGGCAACCTCGCACTCATGAGCCGCGTGCGGCTCTTCAAAGACTGCGGGCTTCGTCATCGTGATTGTAATTAAGGAGCACACCGCCGCCTCGTATTCGCCGCACAATGCATTGCGGGCTCTTGAAATATTGCGGGGGGTTTAGTTGTTGTTGTTGGGTGTTGTTGTGCGTTTGACCGAATTCGAACAAAAACATGTCTCATCTTCATCATTAGACCTCATTTGCCAGTACCAAAATATAATAATAGGGTTTTTCCCCTTTTTAAAATCCTTTATATTAAGTTCGCGTGCTTGCTTGCTTGCTTAGGACCGTGCAAATCTTTCGGTCGTTTTTTAACCCACTTCCCGTGATCCAATCGAGCTGACATTTTCCACACAGACTCGTTGTGTCAGACAATTATTGTTCGTGAAAAAAAATTCCCAAAATGTTACACTTTTTAGGCAAAAAAAATGTATTTTACATATATTCAAATAGAACGCATTCATAGCTTTGGCTGAACATCACAGTGCAAGAGCCCAGAGCGTAACCCCTCCACAGGCCGTGGCGGAGTAGCGCAGTTGGTAGCGCCCTCGCTTCCCATGCCAAAGGTCGCGGGATCGATCCCCGCGTCCTCCACATGCGAATATATTTTTAAATCCTTTATATTAAGTTCGCTTGCTTGCTTAGGACCGTGCAAATCTTTCGCTCGTTTTTTAACCCACTTCCCGTGATCCAATCGAGCTGACATGTTCCACACAGACTCGTTGTGTGTGACAATTCATTTTCGTGAAATTTTTTTTCCAAAATTTTACACTGTTTAGGGAAAACTAATTAAATATTTAATTACCAATTGCTTAATACTGGCAGACAATCATCTGACCCATATATTGCAGCCATCTCAAGCCAGAGGACGAGAGAACTCTAGCCGCCACGCATATAAAGGATTTAGAGTGAAAAACTTTGTTTTTACGGGTTTACTTGTTTAATAGTATTATTATACCTCCTTTGCCAGTACCAACATATAATAATAGGGGTGTTCCCTTTTAAATTATTATTATATTTTGGTACTGGCAAAGGAGGTCTAATGATGTAGATGCTCACCCCGAGCCCTCGTTACTTTGATAGTGCATTGTCTTTGAGCTGCACGCCTTTTGGCGTCCTCTGGTCTAGCACCAATTGGGTCGAGGCTCAAAAGAAAGTCGTCTCTGGTGTGGACCAATCAGCTTCAAGGACAATGCGTGTATTATCAGAGTGTGAGTTTTTTGTTTGCATTTTGACGGCAAGTATTGTGGTTAATGCAGTAACATGAATCCTTGTAAAAAGGTTTCAGTTTTGTTGCCAGAAAAAAAGGCATAACCCCTATTATTATGTCTCATGTTATTATTTCGGTTTCTGATCACGTCCCCTCCACTGAGGCAATGGCAACTGAATAATCACCGGGGGTCATTAAGCCGTGTCAGCCACCCCACGTCAGATTCCCCGGCCAACTAACATCGAGTGGCGTGTGACATCTATACATATTCTTAGGCTTTTTCGGTAAAGTCACGTAGGCAAACATCAAAATTAATTAAAAATAAAATAAAGATCACGACGTTTCGGAGGCAACGTCGTGATCTTTATTTTATTTTTATAAATTTTGATGTTTTACCTACGTGACTTTACCGACAAAAAGATCACGACGTTGCCTCCGAAACGTCGTGATCTTTATTTAATTTGTATTAATTTTGATGTTTTGCCTACGTGACTTTACCGAAAAAGCCTAAGAATATGAATCCTTGCAGTCACGAAAGCTTCAAATCTAGACATCTGTACAGCGTCCTGACCGGGGCCCAGATCTCTGACCCCCCTTCCCACCTTCACTTCACCGCACTGACCAGCGCGGTGAAGTATGTTCGAACGACCCCATGACTGACACGACGAGGTGGTGAGGGGGGGGGGGGAGCGTCTTCATCCAGCAGTGGATTGAGAATGATTCGCTATAGTTTGTAGATCCCGGCAAGTTGAGTGCCTTATCACCACTAAGCTCAAGTCCCCTTCACGTAAGGGCAAAGTCAAAGTAACCTCAACGCTTGAATCAACCCAACCGCACGCAAAGTGTGACAATTGCAAACAAGTGCTGCTGCCGGACAACAATGTAACCGTAGCTCGATTGTTTAAATGTTAATACGGATTAAACGTTCCCCTAATTAGTACAAATTGTTAAACGTGTCCCGAAGCGCTCTTTAGATTTACAACCACGCTTAAGCAACCTCGGACTCGTGCCTCGCTTGCTATTGGTCCAATCCGCATCACGTGTGTCAAACGCACCAACCCGCTGCGAGCATCCGCCCATCGCGTCTACCAAATCTGAACGGCGGCTCGCGGCCTACCCGCGAAGGCTTTAGTGCTTAAACCGGTGGCAAAGCGCTCCGCAACTTTAAAAACAAACAAAAACACCCCACGAACGACGGGCCGAAGCTCGCTCTTCGCCCGGTGCGCGACGCCGATCTAAACACCGCCGGAGACTCTCACCATTGCGGCTGGAAGACGTGCAGCGAGACGCGGGAGAACATCTTTGCTCAGGCAATGAAGGTCAACTCACGAGCCGACGACCAAGAACACCCTCAGCCCCTCCCCCCTCCCCACTGACGCCTGAGAGAGGCCGCGTCTGATTGGCGGAGAGCGCCTCGTAATTTAATTTATGCGAAATAATCACCACGATCCTCTGCCAGGGGGAAATGGGCTTATTTCATTGGTTGAGAGCGAGATAATTTATGAGCCAGGGCAATGGGCTTATTTCATTGGTTGAGAGCTGGATAATTTATGAGCCAAAGGCAATGGGTTTATTTCATTGGTTGAGAGCTGAATAATTTATTAGCCAAAGGCAATGGGCTTATTTCATTGGTTGAGAGCGAGATAATTTATGAACCAAAGGCAATGGGCTTATTTCATTGGTTGAGAGCTGGATAATTTATGAGCCAAAGGCAATGGGTTTATTTCATTGGTTGAGAGCTGAATAATTTATTAGCCAAAGGCAATGGCCTTATTTCATTGGTTGAGAGCGAGATAATTTATGAACCAAAGGCAATGGGCTTATTTCATTGGTTGAGAGCTGGATAATTTATGAGCCAAAGGCAATGGGTTTATTTCATTGGTTGAGAGCTGAATAATTTATTAGCCAAAGGCAATGGGCTTATTTCATTGGTTGAGAGCTGGATAATTTATGAGCCAAAGGCAATGGGCTTATTTCATTGGTTGAGAGCTGGATAATTTATGAGCCAAAGGCAATGGGCTTCTTTCATTGGTTGAGAGCTGAATAATTTATTAGCCAAAGGCAATGGGCTTATTTCATTGGTTGAGAGCTGGATAATTTATGAGCCAAAGGCAATGTGCTTCTTTCATTGGTTGAGAGCTGAATAATTTATTAGCCAAAGGCAATGGGTTTATTTCATTGGTTGAGAGCTGAATAATTTATGCGTCAAAGGCAATGTGCTTCTTTCATTGGTTGAGAGCTGAATAATTTATGAGCCAAAGGCAATGGACTTCTTTCATTGGTTGAGAGCGGGATAATTTATGAGCCAGGGCAATGGGCTTATTTCATTGGTTGAGAGCGGGATAATTTATGAGCCAAAGGCAATGGGCTTATTTCATTGGTTGAGAGCGAGATAATTTATGAGCGCAAGGCAATGGGCTTATTATTTGCGATTTAACAGGATATAATACATACGCGGTATATATAAAGTCAAACGCTCACACTACACGCTACAATTGGTTTAAAATAGAGTTTCCGTATACTGTACGTGGACCACTTAAATATATATATATAGGCGGACACCACTTCGAAGTCACGTGTTGTATACCGATGACGTCACCAAGCCCCAGCCATCACCTCCCGTCCAGCGGCACACGCCGGAAGAAATACCCCAAATGTAAACATTTCTCATCATCCAAATAGTCGAGGAACTAACGTTCCTTGAAATATTGAGTCATATAGTAACATCTTTTTGTGATATGTAAGCAAATTAAATGTTTTTTGTGGATGTGTTTATATTAGTATTTGCATGATCCCATGGCGTTGAGGTAGGGCCGCGTGACTTAAGAGGGAACGGGTCGACCTCAACAAACCAACTTTGCGCAGTGGCAGTATCGTAGCCAATGAGGTTTATCCAAGGCGCGATTATTGCTAATTGAAAACTTTTCCCAATACCCCGCCACGCTGACTTGAAACACAGTCGGCGTCGGCAATTTTTGCAAGCTCTTTCGGGAGCGTTGGGTTGTTTAATGAAGTGTAGAATTTGTTTGAGGTGTGAAGGTAGCAGAACCAATACCTGCCGAGATTGCAATAAGTTTGCACTGGACTGGCAAGATGGAGGTCGCAGACCCAATTTCTCAAACTGCTTTGCACCCAATAAAATTAACTAGTCAGCCCCATGGATGCATCCCCGGCACGACGGTTATGTTTTTCTCTGTCCCACGTGTTTGATTGCAAACTTTTAAACTTGATTTTTTCCATGCTTTTATTCCATGAAATCAACAGCAAAGTTCAACATTCTGTAAGCTATGCCCCTTTCTCCGTATACCCTGCCCCTTCGTAATCAATAATGACCAGGCCCAGTTGTTTTTGCTTCTTCCACCCCCGCGCCTTTCCTTTTAGGCCCGCCAATTCTCATTTAGGCCACGCCCACTGATGTCTAGCCCCGGCCCTCCCCCTCGCACACGGGGTGGGGGCTGTGAGAAGGGGGGCAGTGCGCGCGTGTCGCAGTAGGACCAGAATGCCTCTTAGAGTAGCCAGAAAACAACAGATTGATTATCCCGTTGTCAACCAATAAGGTGACGGTATTTTTAATTATTGGAAAATTTACCGTTAGATTTTAAGCATTAGAAACAGTGTCACTGACTTATTCCATTTGTTATTCAGCCTACAACCAACAGTATAAGGGAACAGCCGATTTCTGAATAATTAAAACCTAAATAATATTTTGATTTTCAACCAATAAAATCCGCGACATCACAAAGCCTCGCGTAAAGTATCGCACTCTTAACTTTATTTGCACTTTAACAGGACACCACTTCGAAGTCTCGTGTTGTATACCGATGACGTCCCCACGCGCCAGCCATCACCTCCCGTCCAGCAGCACACGCGGGAAGAGGCACGGACAATGTTAACATATCTCCTCATCCAATTAATCGATTAATTGACTCTCGGTTTGATTAAATCCTTAAATATTTTAGTAAAATCCATATTGTATTATATTAGCAAATCAAATGTTTTTTAGTGGATGTGTTTACTTTAGCATTTGAATGACCCCATGGGGTTGAGGCAGAGCCGCGTGACTTAAGAGGGAACGGGCCGGCCTCAACAAAGCAGCTTTGCGCAGTGGCAGTATCGTAGCCAATGAGGTTTATCCGAGGCGCGATTATTGCTAATTGAAAACTTTTCCCAATACCCCGCCACGCTGACTTGAAACACAGTCGGCGTCGGCAATTTTTGCAAGCTCTTTCGGGAGCTTTGGGTTGTTTAATGAAGTGTAGAATTGTTTTATGTCCCACGTGTATGATTCCATTCCATGAAATCAACAGCAAATTTCGAGTTAAAGCTTTCGTGACCGCAGAGATTCATCGTCTTGGTTCTTTCGGTAGTCACGTAGAAGGGAAATAATAAAATAAAACATAATAAAATAATTATCACGACGACGACTGCTTGCGTTGTGGCCGAAACGTCGTGAGAATTATTTTATTATGTTTTTATTATTATTGTATATCCCTTCCACGTGACTTTACCGAAAGAACCAAGAAGTTCAATATCTGTAAGCTCTGCCCCTTTCTCCTTCGGGGCCGTCCATAAATGACGTCACACGATTTTGGACCTCCCCCCCCCCGTCACACGGCGTCACAGAAAGTCAGACCCCCCCTCAAATAGGACGTCACAAAGCTCTCCCCCCCCCCCCCCAAAATAACATGCTTCAAATCGCTTTAAACTATTGTCATTGTAGTGCGTATTTAATGTGCCGCATCACTCTGATGCTGTAGGAGAAAACACGTATTAAAAGTCTATTTAATTAAGTAGAACGTGTTGTCTTAATTTATTTAAAGTTCCGCATTTTGATGTGACGTCACATTTCTCAAACACCCCCCCCCCCCTCGTCACACATCGTCACGAATGTCTGCCCCCCCCCCCCCCAGGTGCGTGACGTCATTTATGGATGGCCCCTTACTACCAAAAGTATTAGGGAACAGCCGATTTCTGAATAATTAAAACGTAAATATTATTTTGCTTTTCAACCAAAAATATCCCCGGTATCACAAAGCCTCGCATAAATGATCGCACTCTTCACTTTATTTGCACTTTAACAGGACACCACTTCGAAGTCACGTGTTGTATACCTGTAATAAAAGGACTCGGACACTTCCTTCTGTCTTCGTGTCTTTTATTGGGTTCTCGTCTTCACCCACACGGCACTCTGTTATAACTCTGTATTTGTAGCCCCCGGCTATTCACTGCTATTATAGCTTCTTCTTCCCTCTGACTCTCTGCTTCATCTACTGTAACCTCCTCCCTGCAGACTCGCTGCTACCTCTATGCAGACTCCCGCTGCTACCCCTATGTGCAGACCCTCTGGCTGCTACCGTATGCAGACCCGCTGCTGACTCTGTATGCAGCCCCGCTGCTGACTCTCTGTGCAGCCCCGCTGCTGACTGCAGCCTCCTCGCTGCTTCGGGTCGGTCACCGCTGGCCAACGGTGCCGATCCTCGCTCCCCGTGTTCGTGGCGATCTCGCCACCCTCCGCTTCGCCCTTCGTGGCCTCTCTCTGTTCTTGGTTCCCCGTCACTCCCGTCCTCTTCCGGTTCCCCTCCTTCTATAGCCTAACCCCTCACCCCCCCACGTGACCTAACTCCTCCCCTCCTGACGTCACCTCCGGAGGGCCGTTTACGCCCGCATTACATCACCCTCCCCCATAAAGAAAATCCAGCCGACCTCGGCTGAATTGCAACCTGACAAGAAATGCGGGTGTAAAGGGCCAACACGTAAAAAGACACGAAGCATGCAACAACAATATAACCAGAACACAACACAATACAATTTTAACGAAACGTGAGGGATTTCGAGCGAGTACGGGCAGCCGGGCCGTCCCGGACGGTCGGCAGACCACCCGCCGAGCGGGAACGTGGAAGGGTTTTAGGGGCGACGGGCGCAAGTTCTTCCGTCGCCATTGGAGGCCCGCCACTGTCCCGCTCGCGTCCAGAGACATCCCGTACTCGCGTCCGCGGAGGGATAGGAAGAGCTGCAGGTCCCGTGGGTTCTGCGGCTCCAGTCGACGTCCCACGAGCGGAACGTCCTCCTCCCTGCGCTGTCACGGCCGGCTTGTCTGTGAAGGGTACGACAGGCGCTCTCGCAAGGTCAGCAGACACAGGCAAGGGCGAGTCGGCAGCAACAGACCCCGGCAAGGCAACTTCGGGAGATGACGCATCCGGCCGCGGGGCAATGTATGGCTTCAACCGGGATGTATGCACGAACCAGCGCCGTGACCCAACCTGAACACGCGCCGACTGTGGGTTGGGAACCTCAATGAGGCGGACCGGACCCTGCCAAGGTCTATGTAATTTAGGAGAGGTACCTGGCCGCACCTGTGGGCAATGAAGCCAGGCCAGGTCCCCCTTTTTCCAGGGGCACTCC